GAGAGAGAGAGAGAGAGAGAGAGAGAGAGAGAGAGAGAGAGAGAGAGAGAGAGAGAGAGAGAGAGAGAGAGAGAGAGAGAGAGAGAGAGAGAGAGAGAGAGAGAGAGAAGGAAAAAAAGAGGGGGAGAGGAAAGAGGGAGAAAGAGAGAGAGGGAGAGGAAAGAGAGGGAGAGAGGAAAGAGGAAAGAAAAAGAGAGGAAAGAGAAAGGGAGAGGGAGAGGAAAGATAGAAAGAGAAAGAGGGAAGAGAGAAAGAGAGGGAGAGGAAAGAAAGAGAGAAAGAGAAAAAGAGAAAGAGAGAGGAAAGAGAAAGAGAGGAAAGAGAAAGAGGGGAGAAAGAGAGAGAGAGGAAAGAGAAAGGGAGAGAGGGAGAGGAAAGATAGAAAGAGGAAGAGAGAAAGAGAGGGAGAGGAAAGAGAGGAAAGAGAGAAAGAGAAAGAGAGAAAAAGAGGGAGAGGAAAGAAAGAGGAAAGAGAAAGGGAGAGAGGGAGAGGAAAGATAGAAAGAGAAAGAGGGAAGAGGGAGAGGAAAGAGAGAAAGAGAGATGAAAGAGAGAAAGAGGGAGAGGAAAGAAAGAAAGAGAGAGGAAAGAGAAAGAGGGGAGAAAGGGAGAGAGAGGAAAGAGAGAGAGGGAGAGGAAAGATAGAAAGAGAAAGAGGGAAGAGAGAAAGAGAGGGAGAGGAAAGAGAGAAAGAGGAAAGAGAAAGAGAGAAAGAGGGAGAGGAAAGAAAGAGAGAGGAAAGAGAAAGGGAGAGAGGGAGAGGAAAGATAGAAAGAGAAAGAGGAAAGAGAGGGAGAGGAAAGAGAGAAAGAGAGAGGAAAGAGAGAAAGAGAGAGAAAGAGGGAGAGAGAAAGAGAGGGAGAGGAAAGAGAGAAAGAGAGAGGAAAGAGAGAAAGGGAGAGAGGAAAGAGAAAGAGAGGGAAGAGAGAGAAAGAGGGAGAGGAAAGAAAGAAAGAAAGAGGAAAGAGAGAAAGAAAGAGAAAGGGAAGAAAGAGAGGGAGAGGAAAGAGAAAGAGAGGAAAGAGGGGAGAAAGAGGAAAGAGAAAGGGAGAGAGGGAGAGGAAAGATAGAAAGAGAAAGAGGGAAGAGAGAAAGAGGGAGAGGAAAGAGAGAAAGAGAGGAAAGAGAAAGAGAGAAAAAGAGGGAGAGGAAAGAAAGAGAGAGGAAAGAGAAAGGGAGAGAGGGAGAGGAAAGATAGAAAGAGAAAGAGGGAAGAGAGAAAGAGGGAGAGGAACGAGAGGAAAGAGAGGGAAAAATGTTCGGCCCTCCAGCACGTTCACTTCATCCAATCTGGCCCTCTTTGAAAAAAGTTTGGACACCCCTGACCTAAGTAATCTCAAATCAACTAATTCAGTGTATTTGGATATTCTACTGTCCTAACTATGGGATTCTTATCCAGGATTCTTTATCCAACTATTGTAATATCCTGCTCATAGCTCAAGACCAGCAGTGTCTTAAAAGAGAACCCCTTGAATCCTGGAGGACCAAATAGTTGACAACCAAAGTTAGTAGTATAAACCTTTGTGAACCCAAACAACAAAAATGCTTTAGCATAAATTTAAAAAAGAAAACATTTCCAATATAATTTTAAGTAAACAAGAAAACTTGATCAATCAATTAACTTTAAGGGAACTGAATTTATTGACCATGAAAATAAGCCAATTTAATCTGCCATTTCCTTCTTCCACCAACGATCATGCATGTTGTTTCAGGCAGAAATGATAGGGCTACAATCCTCTCCATAATAGTGCTGACCCTGATTGTCCCAGCACAGGTTTTGATCCAGCGTGGGGGAGGGGATGCAAAGTGCAAAGGGAATGGCCGTTTATATTTCAAGAACTATGTACATGACCAATGTGTCGGCCATACCAATTGGGAGCTGTAGCACATATAGCTGAGGTAAATAACCAAGATATGAGTCTTGTTCAGTTGTGTTATGTAAACTAAGTTGCATTCTTGCTACTGTTTTTATTTCTAATGGCATTTATCAGTTAGATGGCTCTATTATATATTATTGAATTAAGCAAATTTTCTGGATTTGCATTTATTGTAAACCAACCAAGCACAATATATTAAAGTGTCATTGTATTGCTCAGTTTTAGAAGAATGTAATAAGAATATTAGTGAATAGTATGATCCTATTTGACACTTTTTCCTAGCTAGTAAATGATAGAACAGTAGCCAGTGAAAATGTTTTTCTTTTTTTTTACCTGAAGACATAATTTGAGCAGTCATGTTCCCTGCTTACGCTTAAAATATTGGATTAGTGCTGCATGAACAGGCATTTGTCAAAGCTGAAGTTAATAATGCATTAAGTGAATTTTCTTCAAATTAAGTGTTCAGTGAAAGAAAAGCAGGAAAGCAAGCTTAACAGATAAGATTATATCTGTTAATTTTCATG